TAGGAGTGTGGTTGTGGTGTTTTGAAAAAATGGAACACTCTATTGTAAATCACTATGTGAGTGGAAAACCAAAAGAAACCAAACTTGAAGACTCAAGTTTAGGAATGCATTCTTGAGTGAATCAACATTAGGGATGTATTTCGAACGTTCACTCAAGATGACATATGAGTAGTGGCTACTATAAAAGTTGGACTTAGAATATTTGAGACTCATTTCTAATCCAAAAATATATTGCAATACATCTCCCATTGTTTAACTCCTTGGCTCTTCATTGCAATTCCTTACTTACTCATTGAGCTCTCATCAAAAGAAGCTCCAAAAAAAACCATTAGAAGATCATTGTATTTTTGTGCCTCTACCATACTCACCACCTTCTATTTAGCCTAATGTCTTTGCCCATGCTCATTGAGAAGAGTTGCTAACTATTGTCCATCTGAGATGGTCATTGTTCATAAGCACTAAGTCCATTGCTTTGTGTCAAGACTAGACAAGGATGATATAGTCTCCATTGTGAGATGCTCTAGCTGCCCCATAATCAACCACTAAGAAATCACACCTTGAAGTGTGTACACCTCTATAAATACTCATTGGGACAATAGTATGGTTGGCAAATGTCTTGAGAATGATTGCTATAATAAATGAAATTTCTAGGCCCAAATGAAGCATAAGGTGTAAAGAAATTATATTTGCTCCCATAGCCAAAATCTAAAACTATTCCATCAATCAATGTCCTAACAATCGCAATTGGTGTGAGAAAAGTGCTTGGATCCAATTGAACTTGCCCAACCTAGAACTTTATAAACACTCAAGGCTAAAGTATTCTTGGAGAGATAAGGACTCCATACCAAAGTCTCCAGGTCTATCACACACTCAACTAAATGTTCTTTTATTACAACTTCTACTGCATAGTTGCCAACTTATTTTACTTGTTGCAGAATCTTCTATATATAGTAAGATTCTTATCTCCTAACATTCCTCTTATAAAAGCATGTGAAACATCACTTAGTTAATATAAATGGTTCATGAGTAATCTTATTATTAGGCAAAATGGCTCTAAGGGTAATTATGATATTTATGATTTTAATTTTGGCATTAGGCACCTGCTTTGACCACCTAATCAACATATGTCAAAAGTCAACAAGGGTATATTGGATAAGGATGGTGGAGCTTTTGAGGTAACTTGGGGTGGTTGGGCAGTTAGGAACTTAAAAAGGTAATTTAGATAAGATTAGGCCACTTTGGCTTTATTATTTAGTGCAGGGTTATTAGAGGAGTTGGAACTAAGATGAAGGTTGGAGTCCTAATATTAATGGTGATACTAATAGTAGTGTTAATGGAGTTTATAAAGGTTTGGACTATCCATGATGTTGTTCATGAGTTGCAAACCCTCAATAAAAATTAGTAAAAGATGTTATGACATGATAACTACCATGCATGGGCAATATTGAGGCACTCGAAGCTGACAACAGTAGTGCTCCAAATAAAACTTACTTGATAGATCAATTTAAGATTTCAACTTTTTTTAGTGATAGCGGTGTGAATGAGTATTTAGCTTGGTTAGCCAATGTGAAAAAGTGGCTTCTAGAAGAACTTTAAATATAAAGGTTTTAGTGGTTATTCCAATGGTTTTGCATGATAGCAAACTTTCTCATAGATATACTAGCCTATATGAAGTGTTAAACTACATTGGTAAAGTGGTTTATCAAATGCAACCAATTGTATTTGGGATTGAATTTATCTGGGAAAATTCATCTGGGATAAAATTTATCTAATATTTTATGCTAGCTTGGAATGAAGGGTCTAATGATTCCTTAATATATACAGCTAAAAGCTTGAGCAAAGTTCCTTAGAAAAGGTGATTATTAGTATAACTCATGTTTGGGACAAAGACTCTATTAGGAAGAATAGTTAGATGCCAGCTTGATCAACATGGGTCAAATTTAAGGTCCAAGGGTAAAAAACATAATCTACCCTAAGGGTTAAGACTGAAGTATAGTGAAAAACATTAAAAGGAAGTGTAGCATAGTTTAGGTGAGGTTAGGCCTTGGTTATAATATGAAATCCTTGTCTTCTAGCATATAACAATTCTACAAAACACATCCTACATCACTTTCCACAAACTTTTAAATGACAATTTGCAAACTTAAAATTAATCTCTCAATGCTACAAGTGAAATATCACACTCAGAAGTTTATAACTGTGAACTTCAGAATTCCAGAACTCATGGCAGACACTTGTTGGTTCTCATATTCATGGCATTTTGTGTCATAAGCTAGAATTAAATACGACCGATTGTGCTCTCCACCAGGGGTACTTAGAGGGATTCCACTTTTCCATGCTCCATCCATGAGAGGCTATCGCCCCTTGAGTGCTGCACATCAAGCAGGAAATCCAAGCTTCCAGCAGGACATCACTCGAGTTGTGCAAAGCCGCTGGTCTCTTGTGCGGTGATGAAGATCATGAGCTCTTTCAGCACCACCATGACCACCATCACGACAGGAGCGCTATGGAATCCTCCACTTGAGATCTTGCCGAGAGGACCTTCTTCCAGCTCAAGACGCTTGTTGGTGCCAAGAACATACAGGTACCACCGCCGCTGTGCTGGGAAAACTCCATCCCTGTGAGTAAACAACTCCATCTGCTGCTAGAGCCTGCGCTTGCATCCATGAATCTGTCCCAGCTCCTGAGCCAGTCTCCATTTGCAGTGACGAGCAAGGATAGCCTGGCGATATGCTGGTATCAAGCATGAGACCAACGCTTGTCACATCTCGGCAAAGTCAGGCCTCTTCGACCCTCCACAAGCTCGACTTGAAGTATACGGTCAACACTCTGGAGTTTTATCCAAACAAGCCATTCCAGGTGGTGGAGACGAGCGTGGTGGCTGCAAATGGATATCTGGCCTGTCATCCATGACTTTCCCATTCGCCATCTTCATGTGCCACACAATACCGAACAGTCTCGTGTTGGAGGTGGATCTACTGAGAAGTTCTTCCAAAAACACGAAGCGTGCCATGGTGTATGGATACCTCTGATTTTGCGCCTTCTCACATCTCTTTTAAGATTCTTAATACCAAGCGAGAGGTTTGTCACTGGCTTCCTACTTCTCATCTTGTGTGGTATTAAGCACCAAGCCTGAATGCTAGCGTGATTATATAGTAGAGTGTGATCACTAGGAGAATAAGGATTATGTGACTCTCCATGCCTTAAACGTCTTTTAATGAGCCATCCTGAGGCTGAGGATCTTCTTCCCAGCGAAAGAAGAAGACGTGAGGCTGAGCGTCCACTAGATCTCTTATGAGGACCACAACGGAGGGCCATCCCAGCGAAGTGGTGGCAACGAGCAAAGTCTAGGAATCCACATCATTGTATGGGGTGGAGTGCAGGCGCGCTGTGTCGCTTGTGTTGGTCTCTCCGCCTGGGCAGAGCGATGCCACACCCTGCGCTCGTGCTGGCACCTCCAATCCATCCGTGGACACCAAAGCTCTTGGTTAATAATCATTAAATTAAATTTGTTTATGATAAGCTTTAAGAATCGGGATTTGGCTGGAATAAAGATTGGCTTCCTTGCCATACCATACATTTGAGAACATAACCTTGGTTCATTATAGTCGATGTTCTAACTTGTCTGAATGATATATGTACTTCAGGCATCTACAGCAATTCAAATGTTCAAGGACAAAGGGGCCACATTGCAATCTCAGTCCTTGATTTTTAGCAACAAGGCATGGAGAGGCTCAAGACTCTCTAATGTACAGCCCATGCATAGCAAAACGAATACAAACCTTTTGCTCTTGTACCACAATTTCTCGCATGCACACCATAGCCCTCACCTTGGCTCACCTCAAACCCATATTTTAATTACCACTACTGGCTCGTTATTTTTGGTTTGCTTAGATATATTTAGAATATGCTTAGATATTCTAAGATATTCTACCATTTAACAGTTGTTATTCATTTAAATAATCTTGTATTTATAATTTATAAACATTTTAAAACCCTTTCTAGTATATTCTTTTTTATTCTATCATCTAATGGTTTTGTGTTCATAAATTACAAACATGCTTATAATTATAAACTTTATTTTGGATTAATAAGTAATAATAAAACTACTATTAAGTAAACCAAGCATTGCTACTCTCAGTTCAATGAGACAAAGTTTAAGAAATGTCATTTCTAATCAGTGTTTAATGTTAATTTTTTTATTAAAAAAGTAACCATTTTGTTGAGGTACCCCTCTTTCTCATTGTTGCCATCTTCTGGATTTTCATAAAACCACTACAAGGAGTTAGGGTTTGGCGTTCTGTCTTTTAGGTTTTGTAACAAATTAAGAAAAAGTTAATAGTGTATTTTCCATTTGACAGAATATTCGGTCAACAGTCGTTGCTATATGTGCGGGCCCCATGAATTGCAACTCACACTTTTTACATACAAAATTCATATTAACCTTTAAGTTAAAAGGATCCACATTGACAAATTTGTAACAACCTCAATGGAGGAGAACTCTCAGAAGGGAGACACCATTCCCATCATTTCTCCTAATACACAATGATTAGCATTTTAACATTAATGTCTAATAGTATGCAAATGTCTCAATCTAGACAAGTCATTAGGTGCTACCTTACATAAGTATATTAGAATATAAACCACTGTGATATATCAGAAACTAAATTGCATAAAAAATAATAAAATGAAAGCAAACCACGTTCACAACAAATTATTAATACTAATGCCTCTTTTTTTAATTAAATTATTTGATTTTTAAATTGTGCTAGAGTTTATGGTTCATGCACCTAAGAAAAATGTTACTTTCTACATGAAGATGTCTACATATTTATCTATGAAGAATGAGATTAGAAATAGATAGAAATGTTTCCTTATGAGATTATAGGGTATTATTTGAATGCTTACAAATAAAATATAAGCTTGATTCTGTTAATAAGTTTTTAAGAAAACCTTTTCTGATTTCAAAGGGTTTTTTTTAATTGTATTTTATTTGTGTCTTTTTTATTGTAAGGCTCTACTTTAAACTTCATATTCTTATTATCTTAATACAGTAGAGCTTTGCAAAATATCAACGGTATATAGTAAGAGATCTTTGTCTCCTAGCATAAAGGATCTTAGTCAAACTTCACTTTCCAGGAAGGACTCGGGATTTGCCTGCTTCGCTTCCTTGTTATAGAAGAAAAAGGCCTCGGGATTAGCCTGCTTTACTTCCTTGTTATAGAAGACGAAGGACTCAGGATTTGCTTGCTTTTCTTCCCTATTTGCTTGCTTCGCTTCCTTGTTATAGAAGACGAAGGACTCTGGATTTGCCTGCTTTACTTCCTTGTTATAGAAGACGAAGGACTCGGAATTTGCCTGCTTCACTTCCTTGTTATAGAAGACGAAGGCCTCGGGATTAGCCTGCTTCACTTCCTTGTTATAGAAGACGAAGGACTCAGGATTTGCTTGCTTTTCTTCCTTATTTGCTTGCTTCGCTTCCTTGTTATAGAAGACGAAGGACTCGGGATTTGCCTGCTTCGCTTCCTTGTTATACAAGAGGATGGACTCGGGATTTGCCCGCTTCGTTTCCTTGTTATACAAGAGGATGGACTCGGGATTTGCCTGCTTTGCTTCATTGGTGTACATTACCTCTCCAGGCACTTGCTTTTCATTGTCCTTGAGTGTACGTAGTGCTGCAGCTGCCTGAAGTACATATATCATTCAGAAAACTTAGAAGCAGAGATTGATCTCACCGTGAAACACAAGAGGACTGTAATGAGCCACGCCATGGTTTCTATGAAAATGTGGTGTTCTTGGATGTCCTTTTATAGTAAGGCTCTACTTTAAACTTCGTATTCTTATTATCTTAATACATTAGAGCTATCAAAATATCAACGCTGTATAGTAAAAGATCAGGATCTTCTTGGTCAGACGTCACTTTCCAGCAAGTTTTCAATGAAAATTTAAGTTCGTCCTTATCTCTTATACATAGAAAAATACTGAACAAGTGAAACATCACACCAACACAAGTTCATATTATAATTATAGACTTTGCAATTCCAGAACTCATGGCGGACACTTTGTTGGTTCTCATGTTCCTGGCATTATGTGTGGTAAGCTTCACGAATTTCATAACTCTTCGAATCAAATCCAACTGATTGTGCTCTCCGCCAGGGATACTTGGAGGGATTCCAACTTCCACGCTCCATTCGTGAGAGGCTATCGCCCCTTGACGACGCTTCAGCGCTGCACATCAAGCAGGAACTCCAAGCTTCCAGCAGGATATCACACGAGTCGTGCAAAGCCGCTGGTCTCTTGTGCGGTGATGAACATCACTCCCTTCGTCAGCTTTTTCACCACCACCATGACCATCACGACAGGAGCGCCATGGAATCCTCCACTCGAGATCTCGCCCAGAGGACCTTCTTTCAGCTCAAGACGCTTGTTGGTGCCAAGAACATACAGTTGCCACCGCCACTGCGCTGGGACAACTCCATCCCTGTGAGTAAATTCCTTCATCCGCTACTAGAGCCTGTGCTTGCGTCCATGAATCTGTCCCAGCTCCTGTCCACCATGCACTTCTCGAGCCAGTCTCCATTCGCAGCGACGAGCAAGGATAGCCTGGAAATGTGCTCCTCCCACGGGGGGATCAAGCACGAGATCAAGGGTTGTCACGTCTCGGCAAAGTCCATCCTGGATCAGGCCTCTTCGACCCTCCACAAGCTCGAGTTGAAGTATGTGGCCAACACTCTGGAGTTTGATCCGAACGAACCATTCCAGGTGGTAGAGACGAGGGTGGTGGCTGCAGATGGATCTCTGGCCTGTCACCCCATGACTTTCCCATTCGCCATCTTCATGTGCCACACAATACCGAACAGTCTCGTGTTGGAGGTGGATCTACTGAGAAGTTCTTCCAAGAACACGAAGCCTGCCATGGTGAAAGTTCCTGCGGTTTGCCATATGGATACCTCTGATTTCGCGCCTTCTCATATCTCTTTTAAGATTCTTAACACCAGGCCCGGCGAGGGAGAGGTTTGTCACTGGCTTCCTACTTCTCATCTCGTGTGGTATTAAGCTCCAAGCCTGAATGCTAGAGTGAATATATAGTAAAGTTTGATCACAAGGAGAATAAGAATTATGTGGCACTCCATGCCTCAACCGTCTTTTAATGAGCCAGCTTGAGACTGAGGATCTTCTTCGCAGCGAAAGAAGAAGACGTGATCGACTCCAAGCTGAGCGTCCACTAGATCTCTCATGAGGACCACAAAGGAGGGAGGGCCACAGTAATCCACATCTTTGTATGGGGCCGAGCTTGGGCCTGGTTAATAGCATTATATTATGATTCTTCCCAGGTTTTACCAGAAGAAAGAATTGGGATTTGGCTGCTTGGATCCTTCCATACCAGAACAAAGCTTCAGGATTTGGCTTCCTTGCCATGCCAGAAGAACGACTCAGGTTTTGGGAACATAACATTTTGATAAAAAAAACCATGGCTTGGTTCATTACAGTGCAATCTCAGTCCTTGATTTCTAGCAACAACTTCAATGTACACCAAGAGAGCCTTAATATATTATACACTTTTCTCAACTTTGCAGATCTCAACTTTGCAGAATATCAACTTTTTAAAATCTCAACAGATCTCAACTTTGCAGATCTCAACTTCGCAGAATATCAAGTTTTAAAATCTCAACAGATCTCATCAGAAATCAACTTTGCAGACAACGCTGTAAATTAAGAGATCCTTGTCTTCTAGCATAAATCGCAACTGGTGTCATTCAATCATCCACGTGAAACATCACTCTCCAGCAAGTTTTCAATAACACTTTTGCAGACAAAGTTTAACAATGACGTCGTACTTGTTTTGGTATATTTCTACTTTAACTATAGACTTGGACTAACGCCGGACACTTGTTTGGTTCTCGTATTATGTGTATTAAGATTGACAACTCTTACAATCAAATCAAAACGATTGTTTACGAGATTCCATCTTCCACTATGACGCTTCAGCTCTGGCTATCAAGCAAGAAATCGAAGCTTCCGGCAGGATGTGACGTGAGTCAGTCTATTGTGCAGTGATGAACATCACTCCCTTTGTCAGAAAGTGAATCATTTTCTGTACATTGGACCCAAACATTTTTCCACTTTGCACAACTCTGTGGGGATAATAGGTTTTTGCATATTTGAAGGTAAGAGAGAGTGATTCTAAAATTTGGACATTCTTCAAACCCCGAGTGCAACCATTTCTGAAAAATCCTAAAGAATATTGAACCAAATGATGACGTCATTATTTCGCATTTTTGATTCCGGACGAACGTTTGGTGCAAGGATAACCTGGCGATGTCCCAAGTCGCCGGGATCAAGCACCAGATCAAGTCTTATCACGTCTCCACAAAGTCCACTTCGACCCTCCCAAGCTCGAGTTGGACACTCCAAACGAATTATTCTAGGTGGTGGTGGCTGCATCGCCTGTCACCCCATACTTTCCCATTCACCATCTTCATGTGGCACACGATACGGGAGAAGTTCTTCCAAGAAGACGAAGCCTGCCACGGTGAAAGCTCCAGTGGTTTGTCTTATGATTTCGAACCTTCTCACATCTCTTTTAAGATTCTGGCCCGGCGAGGTACTTCTCATCTCGTGTGGTATTAAGCTCCAAGCCTGCCAGGAAATGGAATGCATGATCGAAGCAACTACATAAAATTACCTTGAGCGGTAATCCCTTGTGCGTGTGAGATCGATCACAAGGAAAATAAAGACGTCGTTGTTCGTTTATCTCTTTGGATAGTTCCAACGCTAATCGAAAATAGATTGTGGAATAGAGTTCTCTTAGAGAGCGGCTACAAGGCAAACAAGGATAAATTTCTTCCAAGAGGTATAAATGCTTGCGCGAACCAGTCGACACCCCGTAACAGAATTAGATACGTTGTTTCTGTCAAAGTTTCATTTCACTTATTTTAGATACTTGTTACTACGTGTTTGATTTCTTCACCTGTGGAAAGAAAAAAAAGATCAAACAAAGAGAAAGAAGCGAACATTCAGTACCTTCTTCAGGTATAACTTATGGAACTTGAGCGCTTTTTGGCACGCTCGGTATGCGTCTATCTTGCCGCTCATATTGTTCAGAGCCTGCGACGCATATTGTTACCAGGGAAAATGAGGAAAAAAGGAAAAGCATTAAACTGTTCCTCACCCTCACGACTTCGTCCAGGCCTTGAATTCTCTTTATAAACTTGGATCGTAGCACCAAGATCCCGGCTACAAAGAAAACTGCCAGGGACGGATGCTCGTTGAGGGCTCTTGGCGATCCATACTTAATGTTCCGCTTTGCAAATCTACCTCCAGCTCTATAGTCCGGCTGTACGTTGTCAATGTGACCATCTGGGGACACCATGTAGAGAATTTGAACTCGAAAGCCCACATCATCTACAAAGAAAGAAAAGCTCGCGTGGGCGAAAGAACATAAACATTTCACAACGGTTGGACTTACCTTCCAGAGGCTGAGCGTATCAACGAACGAAAACTCCCGGCGAAAGTTAACCATGAGCATTCGAAACGCAGAAACATAGTTGCTCCCTCCAAGTGCCTCTACAAAAAAAGGTCGGCAAAGACCTTCATCTTCGAAATCCTCACCTATAGTTCTATGAAGCTTTGGATCGACTACTCGCATGGCAGCTGCGAGGAAGGAGAGCTCCTTCTGAACCCCCATCATCTTATTCGTGCACCTGAAATTTTCCCGCTTGCCAACATCAAACGTGATAAACTTGGTACTAAGCGATATAAAATCTTGAGAAGCGCTTTGCAGAAAACGTACCACTCGACGCATCAGGCACTTGAAGCACCAAAAGGCGTCAGCCTCGTCCGGGAAAAGGAGCACCATCGGCGAGCAAAGATCGCTCATACCTTGACAGTAGCCAACCTCCTCGTCGATCCAAGCGTACACGGCCAGGATGTCCCAGAGCTTTCCCAAGTTCTTGGGATCCTCGTAAAACTCTAAAACTCTATCCGTGCGAACTACATCCAGTCCTGCAAAGCGAAAGTTATGAAAAATAATCATACCAATCTGGTGGAGGAGGACTTTCCACTGGACAATCTTTGCGCTCGGCGATGGATCCAGCACTCCATTTATTGTCTGCTCTTCAATGGATTCTGCTAATACTTGGACAGAAAGTGAAAAGCCCGAAGCAAACAAAGAAGTAACCACCTGGATTATTCTCCTCCATGGAAACTCCGTCGGCATTCATTCGCGGCGATATCACAACTTCACCACTTCCAACGGCCGCATCCATTCGTTTACACACTCTACACGCTCTAAACTCTCGTTAAGTAATCGTACGAATATGCTCCATTCTTTGCTCCGGTTCGAATCGCGTAGCTAACGTTTAATTTTTTGTAACTATGTTGCCATGGACAAAGCCCGATCGTGCAAAAGCCTCCCAATGGCCCAGGAGATCCACAAACGCATCCAGGCGAATCCACCACTCCACGAGAGCCTCTTTGTCTACTGTTTAACCAGTTTGGCAGTCTCGTAAATGCCCGAAGCGTGTTTGATCGCATCGAGAACAAGGATGTTTTGTCGCTGGTTCTTATGATCTGCGGCTACTCTCGCAGCGGGCAAGTTTCCAATGCAAAAGCCATCTTTGATTCCATGCCCGAAAAGAATCTTACAAGCTGGAACGCTATGATGGCAGCATATGCCAAGAATGGGTATATGGACGAGGCAGAACTACTGTTTCAAGAGATGCCGTTTCACGATGCCGTGTCATGCAACACGCTCATAGCTGCACACTCGCAAAGAGGGAATTTGGATACTGCGAAGGAGATCTTTGATGACATGCTTTTTAAAACTCTACCATGCTGGAATGCCATGCTATCTGCATATGCCACAGGCTGGCATCTTGTACAAGCAAGACAGACATTTCACTCGATGCCTGCTCGAAATCTGATCTCTTGGACATTATTCTTAAACGCACTAATCATGGAGGATGATCTTCAAATGACTAGAAGTGTTTTAGCGAAATGCCCTGCTGGAATCTGTTTGCCTGTAACTCAGTACTTTCCGCATATGCCCGAAAGGGGAATCTTCTCGAAGCCATGCTAATCTTTGACACAATGCTCGAGAGGGATATAATCACTTACACAAACATGCTGGAAGCTTTCATCTACAACGGTTGCCTCTTTGAAGCCAGCAATTTGTTCTCGCGGATGCCATAGCGGGATCTTGTGGCCTACACCGTAATGGAATCGGCCTATGCTCAAAAGGGCGAGCTCGAGAGAGCCGAGGCCATCTTCAACTCCATGCCGCAGCGTGATCTCGTCGCTTGGAACGCCATGATCCGGGGCTTACTCCCAACACGGCTGAGTCGAGCAAGCAAAGTTTCTCTTTGATTCCATGGCCGAGAGAAACTTGGTCTTCTGGACCTCAATGCTCACGGCTTACACAATAAGTGGCTACTTCTCGCAAGCAGAGCAAAACTCCGTCTCGTGGAATGCCATCCTTTGCATGTATGCTCAGCACGGCCATTTGAGCTCCGCAAGGAAGATTTTCGATGCCATGCCCGAGCAAGGAGTGGTATCATGGAGCGCCATGCTCGCTGCCCACGTGAGAAACTTGTCCTCTTCCCGTGCTCTCGAGCTCTTTGACGAGATGAAAGCTTTGCATTGTCCCGACGAAGCTTGCTTCTTCTCGGCTATGGTTTCGTTTGGGCAGCAAGGCTGCATCTCCAGAGCCAAGTCTTGTTTTGGTTCCATGGTGGCCGACTATGAAGTGGCGCCATCAAAGCAGCACTACTGTTGCATGGTGGATTTGCTCGTTCGATCTGGGAGAAGTTTGGAGGCCGAGGAACTTGTGTTGGCCATGCCTTTTGAGCCCAGTAACTTGGAATGGTCGTGCTTGCTGCGTGAAAGAAACTCCAGTTCGATGTTAATCACCAGAGGCAAGCATGCTTTAAGATCAAGTTCCTCGGATGGAGCGGTTTACGTGCTGCTTGCCAATGCATTAACTTGAAAGCTAATATGAAACCTGCACATTAAAAAGATGGGGCTTTATTTCACAATGGCACTTGAGTAAGTTTTGGTTTTGCTATTGTGCCTCTATGTATCCTTCAGTTTGGGTTGCCACACGGAAGAGGGCTGTGGTCGTTCTATGAGGCTGATGACCCCAATGCTTCTCCGCTTGCTCTTGCTCAATGGAGGTTTTTGTTTAAGATAGACGCATCTATACTAGTAATACTAGCACCTTTATACAAAAAGATGCAAAGAAGCTAGTTATTAATATTAGTGCTTGCTTCATTGTTTCAAAAACTTGAGCGTCCACTAGATCTCTACCACAAAGGATGGCCATCCCAGCGAAGTGGTGGCAACGAACAAAGTCTAGGAATGCTGGCACCTCCAATCCATCCGTGGACACCAAAGCTCTTGGTTAATAATCATCAAAGTAAATCCGTTTATACCCTCATTTATGATAAGCTTTTGCTCTTATACCAAAAGAAAAGAATTGGGATTTGGCTGCTCATACCAGAACAAAGCATTGGGATTGGCTTCCGTGCCAAACCATACATTTGAGAACATAACCTTAGTCGATGTTCTAACTTGTCTGAATGATATATGTACTTCAGGCATCTACAGCACTTCAAATGCTCAAGGAGAAAGGGGCCACACTGCAATCTCAGTCCTTGATTTCTAGCAACAAGGTAATGTACGCATAGAAAAACGAATACACACCTTTTGCTCTTGTACCACAATGGAGCCTTTCTCGCATGCACACCACAGCCCTCGGCTTCGCTCACCTCAAACCCATATTTCAATTACCACTACCCACCCTGCCCCAGGCGTGAGATCGGGGCTGGGTTCTTTATTTTTATTATTATAGATTACTATTTTATTAAATTTTCTTAAATATCAAGAATGAACTAGCAAGAGGGATATACAATGAGATGAAGTTTAAGAAATGTCACTCTTAAACTTTGTTTCTAATCAGTGTTTAATGTTAATTTTGGCAACTTTCTTGTTGAGGTACCTGTTGCCATCTTTTTGGATTTTCATAAAACCGCAACGAGGAGTTAGGGGCTTGGCATTTAGCAAGCCAAGTCAAAAGGAGCCAAATTTCCTCTGTCTTTTAAGTTTTGTAGCACCCCTTTTGCATTTGCATTAGTTGTGGCTAAATGCAACACTTTACGGCTAGGCTGAATGCCCTAATGGCGCCGGTGGGCATTTTAGGCCCAGGTGGCGTGCGCTAGAGCCGTCTATTCCGCTATTTGCGCCACCTCTTGGTCACCAAGCCCTAATAAAAATTTAAAATTTAAGAAAAAGTTCATAGTGTATTTTCCATTTGACAGAATATTCTGTCAACAGTGTTGACTTGGCTCCCTATACCATGAATTGCAACTCACACTTTTTACATACAAAATTCATATTATCCTTTAAGTTAAAAGGATCCACATTGACAAATCTGTAACAGCCTCAATGGAGGAGAACTCTCACAAGGGTGACACCATTCCCCATCATTTCTCCTAATACACAATAGTTAGCATTTTAACATTAATGTCCAATAGTAAGCAAATGTCTCAATCTAAAAAAGTCATTAAGTGCTACTTTACATATGCTAAATAGTATATTAGAATATATATTTAAAGACAAACCACTGTGATATATCAGAAACTAAATTGCATAAAAAATAATAAAATGAAAGCAAACCACGTTCACAACAAAATATTAATGCTAATGCCTCTTTTTGTTAATTAAATTATTTGATTTTAAAATTGTGCTAGAGTTTATGGTTCACTTGCTCCTAAGAAAAATGTTACTTTTTACGTGAAGATGTCTACATATTTATCTATGAAGAATGAGATTAGAAATAGATAGAAATGTTTCCTTATGAGATTATAGGGTATTATTTGAATGCTTACAAATAAAATATAAGCTTGATTCTGTTTATAAGTTTTCAAGAAAACTTTTTCTGATTTCAAAGGGTTTTTTTTAATTGTATTTTATTTGTGTATTTTATTGTAAGGCTCTACTTTAAACTTCATATTTTTATTATCTCAATACAGTAGAGCTTTGCAAAGTATCAGCTATATAATAAGAGATCCATAAAGGATTTTCTTAGTCAAACTTCACTTTCCAGGACGGACTCGGGATTTGCCTGCTTCGCTTCCTTGTTATAGAAGACGAAGGACTCTGGATTTGCCTGCTTCACTTCCTTGTTATAGAAGACAAAGGCCTCGGGATTAGCCTGCTTTACTTCCTTGTTATAGAAGACGAAGGACTCAGGATTTGCTTGCTTTTCTTCCCTATTTGCTTGCTTCACTTCCTTGTTATAGAAGACGAAGGCCTCGGGATTTGCCTGCTTCGCTTCCTTGTTATAAAAGACAAAGGACTCAGGATTTGCCTGCTTCACTTCCTTGTTATAGAAGACGAAGGCCTCGGGATTAGCCTGCTTCACTTCCTTGTTATAGAAGACGAAGGCCTCGGGATTTGCCCGCTTCTGCTTCACTTCCTTGTTATAGAAGACGAAGGACTCAGGATTTGCTTGCTTTTCTTCCTTATTTGCTTGCTTCGCTTCCTTGTTATAGAAGACGAAGGACTCGGGATTTGCCTGCTTGGCTTCCTTGTTATAGAAGACGAAGGACTCGGGATTTGCCTGCTTTACTTCCTTGTTATAGAAGACGAAGGCCTCGGGATTTGCCTGCTTCACTTCCTTGTTATAGAAGACGAAGGCCTCGGGATTTGCCTGCTTCACTTCCTTGTTATAGAAGACGAAGGACTCAGGATTTGCTTGCTTTTCTTCCTTATTTGCTTGCTTCGTTTCCTTGTTATAGAAGACGAAGGACTCGGGATTTGCCTGCTTTGCTTCATTGGTGTACATTACCTCTCCAGGCACTTGCTTTTCATTGTCCTTGAGTGTACGTAGTGCTGCAGCTGCCTGAAGTACATATATCATTCAGAAAAGTTAGAAGCAGAGATTGATCTCACCGTGAAAAACAAGAAGACTGTAATGAGCCACGCCATGGTTTCTATCAAAATGTGGTGTTCTCGGAAGAAAAACTTAGCAGCGCGCTCGGGAAGAGGCAACTAAGGCAGCGGCAGTGGTGGAGAAGGAGGAGCTGTTCCTGGAGCCAGACTCGATTCCATGTCCTTTTATAGTAAAGCTCTTCTTTAAACTTCGTATTCTTATTATCTTAATACATTAGAGCTTTGCAATTAGTAAGAGATGTGTGTAGTAACGCTGTATAGTAAGAGATCCTTGTCTCCTAGCATAAAGGATCTTGGTCAAACGTCACTTTCCAGCAAAGTTGTTAATGAAAATTTCGTCCTTATCTCTTATACATAGAAAAATACTGAACAAGTGGAAACGTCACACTAGCACAAGTTCATATTATACATAGAAAAATACTGAACAAGTGGCACAAGTTCATATTATAATTATAGACTTTGCAATTCCAGAACCTATGGCGGACACTTTGTTGGTTCTCATGTTCCTGGCATTATGTGTGGTAAGCTTCACGAATTTCATGACTCTTTCGAATCAAATCCAACTGATTGTGCTCTCCGCCAGGGGTACTTGGAGGGATTCCAACTTCCGCGCTCCATTCGTGAGAGGCTATCGCCCCTTGACGACGCTTCAGCGCTGCACATCAAGCAGGAACTCCAAGCTTCCAGCAGGATATCACACGAGTCGTGCAAAGCCGCTGGTCTCTTGTGCGGTGATGAACATCACTCCCTTCGTCAGCTCTTTCACCACCACCATGACCATCACGACAGGAGCGCCATGGAATCCTCCACTCGAGATCTCGCCGAGAGGACCTTCTTTCAGCTCAAGACGCTTGTTGGTGCCAAGAACATACAGTTGCCACCGCCACTGCGTTGGGACAACTCCATCCCTGTGAGTAAATTCCTTCATCCGCTGCTAGAGCCTGTGCTTGCGTCCATGAATCTGTCCCAGCTCCTGTCCACCATGCACTTCTCGGGCCAGTCTCCATTCGCAGCGACGAGCAAGGATAGCCTGGAAATGTGCTCCTCCCACGGGGGGATCAAGCACGAGATCAAGGCTTGTCACGTCTCGGCAAAGTCCATCCTGGATCAGGCCTCTTCGACCCTCCACAAGCTCGAGTTGAAGTATGTGGCCAACACTCTGGAGTTTGATCCGAACGAACCATTCCAGGTGGTAGAGACGAGGGTGGTGGCTGCAGATGGATCTCTGGCCTGTCACCCCATGACTTTCCCATTCGCCATCTTCATGTGCCACACAATACCGAACAGTCTCGTGTTGGAGGTCGATCTACTGAGAAGTTCTTCCAAGAACACGAAGCCTGCCATGGTGAAAGTTCCTGCGGTTTGCCATATGGATACCTCTGATTTCGCGCCTTCTCATATCTCTTTTAAGATTCTTAACACCAGGCCGGGCGAGGGAGAGGTTTGTCACTGGCTTCCTACTTCTCATCTCGTGTGGTATTAAGCTCCAAGCCTGAATGCTAGAGTGAATATATAGTAAAGTTTGATCACAAGGAGAATAAGAATTATGTGGCACTCCATGCCTCAACCGTCTTTTAACGAGCCAGCTTGAGACTGAGGATCTTCTTCGCAGCGAAAGAAGAAGACGTGATCGACTCCAAGCTGAGCGTCCACTAGATCTCTCATGAGGACCACAAAGGAGGGAGGGCCACAGTATTCCACATTTTTGTACGGGGCCGAGCTTGTGGGGCATCCGTGGAGACCATAGTTTGGAGCCAGATTGTTATCCAAAGCTCCTGGCTAATAGCATTATATTGTGATGCTTCCCAAAGAAAGAATTGGGATTTGGCTGCTTGGCATCCTTCCATACCGGAATAAAGCTTCAGGATTTGCCTTCCTTGCCATACCAGAAGAAAGACTCAGGTTTTGGGAACATAACATTTTGATAAAAAAAACCATGGCTTGGTTCATTACAGTGCAATCTCAGTCCTTGATTTCTAGCAACAACTTCAATGTACACCAAGAAAGCCTTAATATATTGTACACGTTTCTCAACTTTGCAGAACATCAACTTTTTAAAAGCTCAACAGATTTCAACCTTGCAGGTCTCAACTTTGCAGATCTCAACTTTTCTTTGCAGGTCTCAACTTTGCAGGTCTCAACTTTGCAGAATATTAACTTTTTAAAAGCTCAACAGACGTCAGCCTTGCAGGTCTCAACTTTTCAGATCTCAACTTTGCAGGTCTCAACTTTGCAGAATATTAACTTTTTAAAAGCTCAACAGACGTCAGCCTTGCAGGTCTCTACTTTTCAGATCTCAACTTTGCAGGTCTCAACTTTGCAGAATATTAACGCTGTAAATTAAGAGATCCTTGTCTTCTAGCATAAGCGCAGCTGGTGTCATTCAATCATCCATGTGAAACATCACTTTCCAGCAAGTTTTCAATGACAATTTTGCAGACAAAGTTTAACAACGACGTCGACTCGTGCTCTACTTGTTTGGTATATTTCTACTTTAACTATAGACTTGGACTCACGGTGTTTGGTTCTCGTATTATGTGTATTTAGATTGACAACTCTTACAATCAAATCAAAACGATTGTTCACGAGATTCCAGCTTCCACTCTCAATCCATGAGACCCTTACTACCAGGCAAGAAATCAAAGCTTCCCGCAGGATGTGACGTGAGTCGTGCAAAGCCGCCGGTCTATTGTGTGGTGATGAACATCACTCCCTTCATCAGCTCTTTCACCAGCCAGATTCAGCGAAAGTGAATCATTTTTTGTACATTGGACGCAAACATTTTTCCACTTTGCACAACTCTGTGGGGATAATAGGTTTTTGCACATTTGAAGGTAAGAATGCACGCTTGAGAGAGTGATTTTAAAATTTGGACATTCTTCAAACCCTGAGTGCAACCATTTCTGAAAAATCCTAAAGAATATTCTCCCACTGACTTTCATTTTGCTCAACACAACCAAATGATGACGTCATTATTTTGCCTTTTTGATTCCGGACGAACGTGCAAGGATAACCTGGCGATATCCCAAGTCGCCGGGATCAAGCACCAGATCAAGTCTTATCACATCTCCACAAAGTCCACTTCGACCCTTCCCAAGCTCGAGTTGGACACTCCAAAGGAACCATTCTAGGTGGTGGAGATGAAGGTGGTGGCTGCATCATGACTTTCCCATTCGCCATCTTCATGTGGCACACGATACGGGAGAAGTTCTTCCAAGAAGACGAAGCCTGCCACGGTAAAAGCTCCAGCGGTTTGTCTCATGATTTCGAACCTTCTCACATCTCTTTTAAGATTCTCAACAAGGTAGAGGTCTGTCACTGGCTTCCTACTTCTCATCTCGTGTGGTATTAAGCTTCAAGCCTGCCAGGAAATGGAATGCATGATCGAAGCAACTACATAAAATTACCTTGAGTGGTAATCCCTTGTGAGTGTGAGATCGATCACAAGGAAAATAAAGACGTCGCTGTTCGTTTATCTCTTTGGATAGTTCCAACGCTAATCGAAAATAGATTGTGGAATAGAGTTCTCTTAGAGAGCGGCTACAAGGCAAACAAGGATAAATTTCTTCCGAGGTATAAATGCTTGCGCGAACCAGTCGACATCCCGTAACAGAATTAGATACGAGATTTGTCCCAAAACTCACTGACCTTTGTTTCTGTCAAAGTTTCATTTCACTTATTTTAGATACTTGTTACTACGTGTTTGATTTCTTCACCTGTGGAAAGAAAAAAAGATCAAACAAAGAGAAAGAAGCGAACATTCAGTACCTTCTTCAGGTATAACTTATGGAACTTGAGCGCTTTTTGGCACGCTCGGTATGCGTCTATCTTGCCGCTCATATCGTTCAGAGCCTGCGACGTATATTGTTACCAGGGAAATTGAGGAAAAAAGCAAAAGGATTAAACTGTTCCTCACCCTCACGACTTCGTCCAGGCCTTGAATTCTCTTTATAAACTTGGATCGTAGCAGCACCAAGATCCCGGCTACAAAGAAAACTGCCAGGGACGGATGCTCGTTGAGGGCTCTTGGCGATCCATACTTAATGTTCCGCTTTGCAAATCTACCTCCAGCTCTATAGTCCGGCTGTACGTTGTCAATGTGACCATCCGGGGCCTCCATGTAGAGAATTTGAAGGTCGGGATGGTACTCGAAAGCCCACATCATCTACAAAGAAAGAAAAGCTCACGTGGACGAAAGAACATAAACATTTCACAACGGTTGGACTTACCTCCCAGAGGCTGAGCGTATCAACGAACGAAAACTCCCGGCGAAAGTTAACCATGAGCATTCGAAACGCAAAAATATAGTTGCTCCCTCCAAGTGCATCTACAAAAAAAGGTCGGCAAACACCTTCATCTTCGAAATCCTCACCTAGAGTTCTATGAAGCTTTGGATCGATTACTCGCATGGCAGCTGCGAGGAAGGAGAGCTCCTTCTGAACCCCCATCATCTTATTCGTGCACCTGAAATTTTCCCGCTTGCCAACATCAAACGTGATAAACTTCAATGAACGGTACTAAGCGATATAAAATCTTGAGAAGCGCTTTGCAGAAAACGTACCACTCGACGCATCAGGCACTTGAAGCACCAAAAGGCGTCAGCCTCGTCCGCGAAAAGGAGCACCATCGGCGAGCAAAGATCGCTCATACCTTGACAGTAGCCAACCTCCTCGTCGATCCAAGCGTATACTGCCAGGATGTCCCAGAGCTTTCCCAAGTTCTTGGGATCCTCGTAAAACTCTAAAACTCTATCCGTGCGAACTACATCCAGTCCTGCAAAGCGAAAGTGAGCTCTCTCTCTAGCACGCGAAACAGAAAAATAATCATACCAATCTGGTGGAGAAGAGCTTTCCACTGGACAATCTTTGCCCTCGGCGCTGGATCCAGCACGGCTTTTCAATAAATTCTGCTAATACTTGGACTGAAAGTGAAAAGCCCGAAGCAAACAAAGAAGTAACCACCTGGATTATTCTCCTCCATGGAAACTCCGTCGGCATTCATTCGCGGCGATATCACAACTTCACCACTTCCAACGGCCGCATCCATTCTTTTACACTCGGCCTTGAGCTTCAAATATTTGTCACTGTAAAAACCAACGCGGTTTCTCTCGCAGATCAAATCCAATCGATAAAACAGGCCAAAGTATCTACCGTCGCGATTGACGAAGCTCTTCCCTTTCGGCAGCATTGCTGCTGGGGGAGTAAACACCCAAAAGAAACTCCCAGACGTGAGCGCGAATCTCCGACGCAACGCCCTACAGGAAAGAAGAAGAGATTTCGCTACTGGAAATGCAGCACAAGATTTACCCCTCTTTCGATGTGCCGAAGAACTCGCTTCACATTGAGCCGCCCTTGCGCGTCAAACGCAGCCCGCCATTTCTCCGCCGAGAGCTTCCTCCGCCTCCGCCTCTAAATCGGTCAAACCACAGCTCAGATCGACACAAATCCAGCCGAGAATCCGTCACAAACCGGCGCGGAGCTCGTCGCCACATCCTGACACTCGCTCCGGACCCTGTAAATCTCGGAATCATCCTCCATAGAGAAGCCTTGCCTCTGCTCGCTCGTGCAGGCCAGCAGCGGCATCATGGATCGCACAGATCAACAGCCCGGCGCCTCCGCATTGTCGGACACTCTCTATAGAACCCTAAACTTAAGTAATCGTACGAATATGCTCCATTCCTTGCTCCGGTTCGAATCGCGTAGCTAACGTTTAAGTTTTATTCCACATTGTAACTATGTTGCCATGGACAAAGCCCAGTGCGTGGAGCTCATTCGATCGTGCAAAAGCCTTCCAATGGCCCAGGAGATCCACAAACGCATCCAGGCGAATCCACCACTCTCACCACACGAGAGCCTCTTTGTCTCCAATAATCTCCTCGCACTGTTTAACCAGTTTGGCAGCCTCGTAAATGCCCGAAGCGTCTTTGATCGCATCGAGAACAAGGATGCTTTCTCGCTGGTTCTTATGCTCTGCGGCTACTCTCGCAGCGGGCAAGTCTCCAATGCAAAAGCCATCTTTGATTCCATGCCCGAAAAGAATCTTACAAGCTGGAACGCTATGGTGGCAGCATATGCCAAGAATGGGTATATGGACGAGGCAGAACTACTGTTTCAAGAGATGCCATTTCATGATGCCGTGTCATGCAATACGCTCGTAGCTGCACACTCGCAAAGAGGTCATTTGGATACTGCGAAGGGTATCTTTGATGACATGCTTTTTAAAACTCTACCATGCTGGAATGCCATGCTATCTGCATATGCCACAGGCTGGCATCTTGTACAAGCAAGACAGACATTTCACTCGATGCCTGCTCGAAATCTGATCTATTGGACATCATTCTTAAACGCACTAATCATGGAGGAAGATCTTCAAATGACTAGAAAGTGTTTTAGCGAAATGCCCTGCTGGAATCTGTTTGCCTGTAACTCAGTACTTTCCGCATATGCCCGAAAGGGGAATCTTCTCGAAGCCATGCTAACCTTTGACACAATGCTCGAGAGGGATATAATCACTTACACAAACATGCTGGAAGCTTTCATCCACAACGGTTGCCTCTTTGAAGCCAGCAATTTCTTCTCGCGGATGCCACAGCGGGATCTTGTGGCCTACACCGTAATGCAATCGGCCTATGCTTAAAACGGCGAGCTCGAGAGAGCCGAGACCATCTTCAACTCCATGCCGCAGCGTGATCTCGTCGCTTGGAACGCCATGATCGGGGCTTACTCCCAACACGGCCGAGTCGAGCAAGCAAAGTTTCTCTTTGATTCCATGGCCGAGAGAAACTTGGTCTCCTGGACCTCAATGCTCACGCCTTACACAATAAGTGGCTACTTCTCGCAAGCAAAGCTCGTCTTTCTCGACATGTCCGAGCAAAACTCCGTCTCGTGGAATGCCATCCTTTGCATGTATGCTCAGCACGGCCATTTGAGCTCTGCAAGGAAGATTTTCGATGCCATGCCCGAGCAAGGAGTGGTATCATGGAGCGCCATGCTCGCTGCCCACGTAAGAAACTTGTCCTCTTCTCGTGCTCTCGAGCTCTTTGACGAGATGAAAGCTTTGCATTGTCCCGACGAAGCTAGCTTCTTCTCAGCTATGGTTTCGTTTGGGCAGCAAGGCTGCATCTCCAGAGCCAAGTCTTGCTTTTGTTCCATGGTGGCCGACTATGAAGTGGCGCCATCAAAGCAGCACTACTCTTGCATGGTGGATTTGCTCGTTCGATCTGGGAGAAGTTTGGAGGCGTGTTTGCGATGCCTTTTGAGCCCAGTAACTTGGAATGGTCGTGCTTGCTGCGTGAAAGAAACTCCAGCTCGATGTTAACCACCAGAGGCAAGCATGCTTTAAGATCAAGTTCCTCGGATGGAGCGGTTTACGTGCTGCTTGCCAATGCATTAACTTGAAAGCTAATATGAAACCTGTACATTAAAAAGATGGCTCATTTCAAGGGCTTTATTTCACAATGGCACTTGAGTAAGTTTTGGTTTTGCTGTTGTGCCTCTATGTCTCCTTCAGTTTGGGTTGCCACACGGAAGAGGGCTGTGGTCGTTCTACGAGGCTGATGACCCCAATGCTTCTCCGCTTGCTCTTGCTCAATGGAGGTTTTTGTTCAAGATAGACGCATCTATACTAGTAATACTAGCTTTGTACAAAAAGATGCAAAGAAGCTAGTTATTAATATTAGAGCTTGCTTCATTGTTTCAAAAAGTTGAGCGTCCACTAGATCTCTACCACAAAGGAGGGTCATCCCAGCGAAGTGGTGGCAACGAACAAAGTCTAGGAATGCTGGCCCCTCCAATCCATCCGTGGACACCAAAGCTTAAGCTTTTGCTCCTATACCAAAAGAAAGAATCGGGATTTGGCTGCTCATACCAGAACAGAGCATTGGGACTGGCTTCCGTGCCAAACCATACATTTGAGAACATAACCTTGGTTCATTATAGTCGATGTTCTAACTTGTCTGAATGATATATGTACTTCAGGCATCTACAGCACTTCAAATGCTCAAGGACAAAGGGGCCATACTGCAATCTCAGTCCTTGATTTCTAGCAACAAGGTAATGTACGCATAGAAAAACGAATACACACCTTTTGCTCTTGTACCACAATGGAGCCTTTCTCGCACCACAGCCCTCGCCTTCGCTCACCTTAAACCCATATTTCAATTACCACTACCCACCCTGCAGGCTTGAGATCGGGGCTATTATTATAGATTACTATTTTATTAAATTTTCTTAAATATCAAGAATGTATAATAAAAGATCCCTCTTGCTATATAAAACATCAGTTCAATGAGACAAAGTTTAAGAAATGTCACTCTTAAACTTTGTTTTTAATCAGTGTTTAATGTTAATTTTATTTATTAAAAAGGCAACCCCTCTCTCCCATTGTTGCCATCTTTTTGGATTTTCATAAAACCACTACGAGGAGTTAGGGGCTTGGCATTTAGCAAGCCAAGTCAAAAGGAGCCAAATTTCCTCTGTCTTTTAATAGATGCCCCTTTTACACCCCAAGCATTTGTGGCTAAATGCACTTTATGGCTAAGCTGAATGCCATTTAGGGCCTAATGGCACCGGTGGGCATTTTAGGCCCAGGTGGCGTGCGCTAGAGCCCCGGCTATTTGGCCCCCAACGGCACCCGTCTGTTCCGCTATTGGCCACCAAGCCTAATTAAAAATTAAGAAAAAGTTCATAGTGTATTTTCCATTTGACAGAATATTCGGTCAACAGTGTTGACTTGCACTACACTTTTTACATACAAAATCCATATTATCCTTTAAGTTAAAAGGCTCCACATTGACAAATCTGTAACAACCTCAATGGAGGAGAACTCTCACAAGGGAGACACCATTCCCCATCATTTCTCCTAATACACAATGGTTAGCATTTTAACATTAATGTCCAATAGTATCTCAATCTAAACAAGTCATTAGGTGCTACTTACATATGCTAAATAGTATATTAGAATATATATTTAAAGATAAACCATTATGATATATCAGAAACTAAATTGCATAAAAAATAATAAAATGAAAGCAAACCACGTTCACAACAAAATATTAATACTAATGCCTCTTTTTGTTATTTTAAAATTGTGCTAGAGTTTATGGTTCACTTGCTCCTAAGAAAAATTTTACTGTCTACATGAAGATGTCTACATATTTATCTATGAAGAATGAGATTAGAAATAGATAGAAATGTTTCCTTGTGAGATTATAGGGTATTATTTGAATGCTTACAAATGATTCTGTTTATAACTTTTCAAGAAAACCAATCAATGACAGGGTAACATGGTTAATTTAAACTGAATTATGTTTAAAGGTTAGAAGGACATTTTTTTCTGATTTGAAAGGGTTTTATTTTTTTTATTGTATTTTATTATCTTAATACATTACAGCTTTGCAAAATATCAACGCTGTATAGTAAGAGATCTTTGTCTCCTAGCATAAAGGATCTTCTTAGTCAAACGTCACTTTCGAGGAAGGATTGGGGATTTGCTTGCTTCGCTTCCTTGTTATACAAGAGGATGGACTCGGGATTTGCCTGCTTCACTTCCTCGTTATACAAGAGGATGGACTCGGGATTTCCCTGCTTCGCTTCCTCGTTATACAAGAGGATGGACTCGGGATTTGCCTGCTTCGCTTCCTCGTGATACAAGAGGATGGACTCGGGATTTGCCTGCTTCGCTTCCTTGTGATACAAGAGGATGGACTCGGGATTTGCCGGCTTCGCTTCCTTGTCATACAAGAGGATGGACTCGGGATTTGCCTGCTTCGCTTCCTTGTCATACAAGAGGATGGACTCGGGATTTGCCTGCTTCGCTTCCTTGTCATACAAGAGGATGGACTCGGGATTTGCCTGCTTTGCTTCATTGGTGTACATTACCTCTCCAGGCACTTGCTTTTCATTGTCCTTGAGTGTACGTAGTGCTGCAGCTGCCTGAAGTACATATATCATTCAGAAAACTTAGAAGCAGAGATTGATCTCACCGTGAAAAACAAGAAGACTGTAATGAGCCACGCCATGGTTTCTATCAAAATGTGGTGTTCTCAGAAGAAAAACTTAGCAGCGCGCTCACGGGAAGAGGCAACTAAGGCGGCGGCAGTGGTGGAGAAGGAGGAGCTGTTCCTGGAGCCAGACTCGATTCCATGTCCTTTTATAGTAAAGCTCTAATTCTTATTATCTTAATACATTAGAGCTTTGCAAAATATCAACGCTGTATAGAAAGAGATCCTTGTCTTCTAGCATAAAGGATCCAGCAAGTTGTCAATGAAAATTTAAATTCGTCCTTATCTTTTATATATAGAAAAATACTGAACAAGTGGAAACATCACACCAGAGTTCATATTATAATTATAAACTTTGCAATTCCAGAACCCATGGCAGACACTTTGTTGGTTCTCATGTTCCTGGCATTATGTGTGGTAAGCTTCACGAATTTCATGACTCTTTCGAATCAAATCCAACTGATTGTGCTCTTCGCCAGGGATACTTGGAGGGATTCCAACTTCCACGCTCCATTCGTGAGAGGCTATCGCCCCTTGACGACGCTTCAGCGCTGCACATCAAGCAGGAACTCCAAGCTTCCAGCAGGATATCACACGAGTCGTGCAAAGCCGCTGGTCTCTTGTGCGGTGATGAACATCACTCCCTTCGTCAGCTCTTTCACCACCACCATGACCATCACGACAGGAGCGCCATGGAATCCTCCACTCGAGATCTCGCCCAGAGGACCTTCTTTCAGCTCAAGACGCTTGTTGGTGCCAAGAACATACAGTTGCCACCGCCACTGCGCTGGGACAACTCCATCCCTGTGAGTAAATTCCTTCATCCGCTGCTAGAGCCTGTGCTTGCGTCCATGAATCTGTCCCAGCTCCTGTCCACCATGCGCTTCTCGAGCCAGTCTCCATTCGCAGCGACGAGCAAGGATAGCCTGGAAATGTGCTCCTCCCACGGGGGGATCAAGCACGAGATCAAGGCTTGTCACGTCTCGGCAAAGTCCATCCTGGATCAGGCCTCTTCGACCCTCCACAAGCTCGAGTTGAAGTATGTGGCCAACACTCTGGAGTTTGATCCGAACGAACCATTCCAGGTGGTAGAGACGAGGGTGGTGGCTGCAGATGGATCTCTGGCCTGTCACCCCATGACTTTCCCATTCGCCATCTTCATGTGCCACACAATACCGAACAGTCTCGTGTTGGAGGTGGATCTACTGAGAAGTTCTTCCAAGAACACGAAGCCTGCCATGGTGAAAGTTCCTGCGGTTTGCCATATGGATACCTCTGATTTCGCGCTTCTCATATCTCTTTTAAGATTCTTAACACCAGGCCGGGCGAGGGAGAGGTTTGTCACTGGCTTCCTACTTCTCATCTCGTGTGGTATTAAGCTCCAAGCCTGAATGCTAGAGTGAATATATAGTAAAGTTTGATCACAAGGAGAATAAGAATTATGTGGCACTCCATGCCTCAACCGTCTTTTAATGAGCCAGCTTGAGACTGAAGATCTTCTTCGCAGCGAAAGAAGAAGACGTGATCGACTCCAAGCTGAGCGTCCACTAGATCTTTCATGAGGACCACAAAGGAGGGAGGGCCACAGTAATCCACATCTTTGTATGGGGCCGAGCTTGGGGGGCATCCGTGGACACCATAGTTTGGAGCCAGATTGTTATCCAAAGGTCCTGGTTAATAGCATTATATTATGATTCTTCCCAGGTTTTACCAGAAGAAAGAATTGGGATTTGGCTGCTTGGCATCCTTCCATACCAGAACAAAGCTTCAGGATTTGGCTTCCTTGCCATGCCAGAAGAAAGGCTCAGGTTTTGGGAACATAACATTTTGATAAAAAAAACCATGGCTTGGTTCATTACAGTGCAATCTCAGTCCTTGATTTCTAGCAACAACTTCAATGTACACCAAGAGAGCCTTAATATATTATACACTTTTCTCAACTTTGCAGATCTCAACTTTGCAGAATATCAACTTTTTAAAATCTCAACAGATCTCAACTTTGCAGATCTCAACTTCGCAGAATATCAAGTTTTAAAATCTCAACAGATCTCATCAGAAATCAACTTTGCAGACAACGCTGTAAATTAAGAGATCCTTGTCTTCTAGCATAAATCGCAACTGGTGTCATTCCATCATCCACGTGAAACATCACTCTCCAGCAAGTTTTCAATGACAATTTTGCAGACAAAGTTTAACAATGACGTCGTACTTGTTTTGGTATATTTCTACTTTAACTATAGACTTGGACTCACGCCGGACACTCGTTTGGTTCTCGTATTATGTGTATTAAGATTGACAACTCTTACAATCAAATCAAAACGATTGTTCACGAGATTCCATCTTCCACTCTCAATCCGTGAGGCCCTTATGACGCTTCAGCTCTGGCTATCAAGCAAGAAATCGAAGCTTCCGGCAGGATGTGACGTGAGTCGTGCAAAGCTTCCAGTCTATTGTGTGGTGACATTAGCTCTTTCACCAGCCAGATTCAGCGAAAGTGAATAATTTTCTGTACATTGGACCCAAACATTTTTCCACTTTGCACAACTCTGTGGGGATAATAGGTTTTTGCATATTTGAAGGTAAGAGAGAGTGATTTTAAAATTTGGACATTCTTCAAACCCTGAGTGCAACCATTCCTAGAGAATATTCTCCCACTGATTTTTCTTAACACAACCAAATGACGACGTCATTATTTCGCCTTTTTGATTCCGGACGAACGTTTGGTGCAAGGATAACCTGGCGATGTCCCAAGTCGCCGACCAGATCAAGTCTTATCACGTCTCCACAAAGTCCACTTCGACCCTTCCCAAGCTCGAGTTGGTGGAGACGAAGGTGGTGGCTGCATCGCCTGTCACCCCATGACTTTCCCATTCGCCATCTTCATGTGGCACACGATACGGGAGAAGGTGTTCCAAGAAGACGAAGCCACGGTGAAAGCTCCAGCGGTTTGTCTTATGATTTCGAACCTTCTCACATCTCTTTTCAGATTCTCAACACCAGGCCCAGCGTGGTAGAGGTCTGTCACTGGCTTCTTACTTCTCATCTCGTGTGGTATTAAGCTCCAAGCCTGCCAGGAAATGGAATGCATGATCGAAGCAACTACATAAAATTACCTTGATTGGTAATCGCTTGTGCGTGTGAGATCGATCACAAGGAAAATAAAGACGTCGTTGTTCGTTTATCTCTTTGGATAGTTCCAACGCTAATCGAAAATAGATTGTGGAATAGAGTCGGCTACAAGGCAAACAAGGATAAATTTCTTCCGAGGTATAAATGCTTGCGCGAACCAGTCGACACCCCGTAACAGAATTAGATACGAGATTTGCCCTGACCTTTGCTTCTGTCAAAGTTTCATTTCACTTATTTTAGATACTTGTTACTATGTGTTCGATTTCTTCACCTGTGGAAAGGAAAAAAAGATCAAACAAAGAGAAAGAAGCGAACATTCAGTACCTTCTTCAGGTATAACTTATGGAACTTGAGCGCTTTTTGGCACGCTCGGTATGCGTCTATCTTGCCGCTCATATCGTTCAGAGCCTGCGACGTATATTGTTACCAGGGAAAATGAGGAAAAAAGGAAAGCATTAAACTGTTCCTCACCCTCACGACTTCGTCCAGGCCTTGAATTCTCTTTATAAACTTGGATCGTAGCAGCACCAAGATCCGGATGCTCGTTGAGGGCTCTTGCCGATCCATACCTCCAGCTCTATAGTCCGGCTGTACGTTGTCAATGTGACCATCCGGGGACTCCATGTAGAGAATTTGAAGGTCGGGATGGTACTCGAAAGCCCACATCATCTACAAAGAAAGAAAAGCTCGCGTGAGCGAAAGAACATAAACATTTGACAACGGTTGAACTTACCTCCCAGAGGCTGAGCGTATCAACAAACGAAAACTCCCGGCGAAAGTTAACCATGAGCATTCGAAACGCAAAAATATAGTTGCTCCCTCCAAGTGCCTCTACAGAAAAAGGTCGGCAAACATCTTCATCTTCGAAATCCTCACCTAGAGTTCTATGAAGCTTTGGATCGATTACTCGCATGGCAGCTGCGAGGAAGGAGAGCTCCTTCTGAACCCCCATCATCTTATTCGTGCACCTGAAATTTTCCCGCTTGCCAACATCAAACGTGATAAAGTTCAATGAACGGTACTAAGTGATAGAAAATCTTGAGAAGCGCTTTGCAAAAAACGTACCACTCGACGCATCAGGGACTTGAAGCACCAAAAGGCGTCAGCCTCGTCCGGGAAAAGGAGCACCATCGGCGAGCAAAGATCGCTCATACCTTGACAGTAGCCAACCTCCTCGTCGATCCAAGCGTACACTCCAGAGCTTTCCCAAGTTCTTGGGATCCTCGTAAAACTCTAAAACTCTATCCGTGCGAACTACATCCAGTCCTGCAAAGCGAAAGTGAGCTCTCTCTCTAGCACGCGAAACAGAAAAATAATCACACCAATCTGGTGGAGAAGAGCTTTCCACTGGACAATCTTTGCCCTCGGCGCTGGATCCAGCACAACTTTTCAATGGATTCTGCTAATACTTGGACTGAAAGTGAAAAGCCCGAAGCAAACAAAGAACTAAGCACCTGGATTATTTTCCTCCATGGGAACTCCGTCGGCATTCATTCGCGGCGATATCACAACTTCGCCACTTCCAACGGCCGCATCCATTCGCTTTCACTCGGCCTTGAGCTTCAAATATTTGTCACTGTAAAAACCAACGCGGTTTCTCTCGCAGATAAAATCCAATCGATAAAACAGGCCAAAGTATCTACCGTCGCGATTGACGAAGCTCTTCCCTTTCGGCAGCATTGCTGCCGGGGGAGTAAACACCCAAAAGAAACTCCCAGACGTGAGCGCGAATCTCCGACGCAACGCCCTACAGGAAAGAAGAAGAGATTTCGCTACTGGAAATGCAGCACAAGATTTACCCCTCTTTCGATGTGCCGAAGAACTCGCTTCACATTGAGCCGCCCTTGCGCATCAAACGCAGCCCGCCATTTCCACATTGAACTATGTTCCCATGGACAAAGCCCGGGAGCTCATTCGATCGTGCAAAAGCCTTCCAATGGCCCAGGAGATCCACAAACGCATCCAGGCGAATCCACCACTCCCACCACACGAGAGCCTCTTTGTCTCCAACAATCTCCTCGCACTGTTTAACCAGTTTGGCAGCCTCGCAAATGCCCGAAGCGTCTTTGATCGCATCGAAAACAAGGATGTTTTCTCGCTGGTTCTTATGATCTGCGGCTACTCTCGCAGCGGGCAAGTTTCCATGGAAAAGCCATCTTTGATTCCGTACCCGAGAAGAATCTTACAAGCTGGAACGCTATGGTGGCAGCATATGCCAAGAATGGGTATCTGGACGAGGCAGAACTTTTGTTTCAAGAGATGCCATTTCATGATGCCGTGTCATGCAATACGCTCATAGCTGCACACTCGCAAAGAGGGCATTTGGATACTGCGAAGGAGATCTTTGATGACATGCTTTTTAAAACTCTACCATGCTGGAATGCCATGCTATCTGCATATGCCACAGCTGGCATCTTGTACGAGCAAGACAGACATTTCACTCGATGCCTGCTCGAAATCTGATCTCTTGGACATCATTCTTAAACGCACTAATCATGGAGGAAGATCTTCAAATGACTAGAAAGTGCTGGAAGCTCTCATCCAAAACGGTTGCCTCTTTGAAGCCAGCAATTTGTTCTCGCGGATGCCACAGCGGGATCTTGTGGCCTACACCGTAATGCAATCGGCCTATGTTCAAAACGGCGAGCTCGAGAGAGCCGTGGCCATCTTCACCTCCATGCCGCAGCGTGATCTCGTCGCTTGGAACGCCATGATCGGGGTTACTCCCAACACGACCTAGTCGAGCAAGCAAAGCTTTTCTTTGATTCCATGGCCGAGAGAACTGGACCTCAATGCTCACGGCTTACACAATATGTGGCTACTTCTCGCAAGCAAAGCTCGTCTTTCTCGACATGTCCGAGCAAAACTCCGTCTCGTGGAATGCCATCCTTTGCATGTATGCTCAGCACGGCCATTTGAGCTCTGCAAGGAAGATTTTCGATGCCATGCCCGAGCAAGGAGTGGTATCATGGAGCGCCATGCTCGCTGCCCAGGTAAGAAACTTGTCCTCTTCCCATGCTCTCGAGCTCTTTGACGAGATGAAAGCTTTGCATTGTCCCGACGAAGCTAGCTTCTTCTCAGCTATGGTTTCGTTTGGGCAGCATCTCAAAAAAGCTTAATTAACTTTGCCATTTTGATGAACAACTTAAATTCACAAAAATGACTTTTTTGGGAAGAAATTCTTCTCCCAAATCGAACGAGCAAATCCACCATGCAAGAGTAGTGCTGCTTTGATGGCGCCACTTCATAGTCGGCCACCATGGAACCAAAGCAATGGAGGCCGAGGAACTTGTGTTTGCCATGCCTTTTAAGCCCAGTAACTTGGAATGGTCGTGCTTGCTGCGTGAAAGAAACTCCAGTTCGACGTTAATCACCAGAGGCAAGCATGCTTTAAGATCAAGTTCCTCGGATGGAGCGGTTTACGTGCTGCTTGCCAATAGATTAACTTGAAAGCTCTGTACATTAAAAAGATGTCTCATTTCAAGGGCTTTATTTCACAATGGCACTTGAGTAAGTTTTGGTTTTGCTATTGTGCTTCTATGTCTCCTTCAGTTTGGGTTGCCACATGGAAGAGGGCTGTGGTCGTTCTACGAGGCTGATGACCCCAATGCTTCTCCGCTTGCTCTTGCTCATGGAGGTTTTTGTTCAAGATAGACGCATCTATACTAGCAATACTAGCTTTGTACAAAAAGATCCAAAGAAGCTAGTTATTAATATTAGTGCTTGCTTCATTGTTTCAAAAAGTTGAGCGTCCACTAGATCTCTACCGCAAAGGAGGGCCATCCCAGCGAAGTGGTGGCAATGAACAAAGTCTAGGAATGCTGGCACCTCCAATCCATCCGTGGACACCAAAGCTCTTGGTTAATAATCATCAAAGTAAATCCGTTTATACCCTCATTTATGATAAGCTTTTGCTCCTATACCAAAAGAAAGAATCGGGATTTGGCTGCTCATACCAGAACAAAGATTGGCTTCCTTGCCATACCATACATTTGAGAACATAACCTTGGTTCATTATAGTCGATGTTCTAACTTGTCTGAATGATATATGTACTTCAGGCATCTACAGCACTTCAAATGTTCAAGGACAAAGGGGCCACACTGCAATCTCAGTCCTTGATTTCTAGCAACAAGGTAATGTATGCATAGAAAAACGAATACACACCTTTTGGTCTTGTACCACAATGGAGCCTTTCTCGCATGTACACCACAGCCCTCGGCTTCGCTCACCTCAAACCCATATGTCAATTACCACTACCCACCCTGCCCATCGGGGCTGGGCTCTTTATTTTTATTATTATAGATTACTATTTTATTAAATTTTCTTAAATATCAAGAATGTATAATAAAAGATCCTCTTGCTATATAAAAACATCAGTTCAATGAGACAAAGTTTAAGAAATGTCACTCTTAAACTTTGTTTCTAATCAGTTTTAACGTTAATTGCATTTATTAAAAAGGCAACCTTCTTGTTGAGGTACCCCTCTCTCCCATTGTTGCCATCTTTTTGGATTTTCATAAAACCGCTATGAGGAGTTAGGGGCTTGGCGTTTAACAAGCCAAGTCAAAAGGAGCCAAATTTCCTCTGTCTTTTAAGTTTTGTAGCGCCCCTTTTACACCCCAAGCATTTGCATTGGTTGTGGCTAAATGCAACACTTTACGGCTAGGCTGATTTAGGGCCTAACTGCATTTTAGGCCCAGGTGGCGTGCGCTAGAGCCCCGGCTATTTGGCCCCCAACAGCGCCCGCCCTAATTATAAATTAAGAAAAAGTTCATAGTGTATTTTCCATTTAACAGAATATTCGGTCAACAGGGCTCGCTACACTTTTTACATACAAAATCCATATTATCCTTTAAGTTAAAAGGATCCACATTGACAAATCTGTAACAACCTCAATGGAGGAGGACTCTCACAAGGGAGACACCATTCCCCATCATTTCTCCTAATACACAATAGTTAGCATTTTAACATTAATGTCCAGTAGTATGCAAAATGTCTCAATCTAAATAAGTCATTAGGTGCTACTTTACATATGCTAAATAGTATATTAGAATATATATTTAAAGACAAACCACTGTGATATATCAGAAACTAAATTGCATAAAAAAATAATAAAATGAAAGCAAACCACGTTCACAACAAAATATTAATACTAATGCCTTTTTTTTTAATTAAATTATTTTATTTTTAAATTGTGCTAGAGTTTATGGTTCACTTGCTCCTAAGAAAAATTTTACTTTCTGCATGAAGATGTCCACATATTTGTCTATGAAGAATGAGATTAGAAATAGATAGAAATGTTTCCTTATGAGATTATAGGGTATTATTTCAATGCTTACAAATAAAATATAAGCTTGATTCTGTTTATAATTTTTCAAGAAAACCAATTAATGACATGGTTAATTTAAACTGAATTATGTTTAAATGTTAAGAGGATTTAAACACATTTTTCCTGATTTGAAAGTTTCTTTTATTGTATCTTATTTGTGTTTTCCGATTGCAAGGCTCTACTTTAAACTTCATATTCTTATTATCTTAATACATTAGAGCTTTGTAAAATATCAACGCTGTATAGCATAAAGGATATTCTTAGTCAAACGTCACTTTCCAGGAAGGACTCGGGATTTGCCTGCTTGGCTTCCTTGTTATAGAAGACGAAGGACTCGGGATTTGCCTGCTTCGCTTCCTTGTTATAGAAGAGGAAGGACTCGGGATTTGCCTGCTTCGCTTCATTGGTGTACATTACCTCTCCAGGCACTTGCTTTTCATTGTCCTTGAGTGTACGTAGTGCTGCAGCTGCCTGAAGTACATATATCATTCAGAAAGGTTAGAAGCAGAGATTGATCTCACCGTGAAAAACAAGAAGACTGTAATGAGCCACGCCATGGTTTCTATCAAAATGTGGTGTTCTCAGAAGAAAAACTTAGCAGCGCGCTCACGGGAAGAGGCAACTAAGGCGGCGGCAGTGGTGGAGAAGGAGGAGCTGTTCCTGGAGCCAGACTCGATTCCATGTCCTTTTATAGTAAAGCTCTACTTTAAACTTCGTATTCTTATTATCTTAATACATTAGAGCTTTGCAAAATATCAACGCTGTATAGTACGAGATCCTTGTCTCCTAGCATAAAGGATCCAGCAAGTTGTCAATGAAAATTTAAGTTCGTCCTTATCTTTTATACATAGAAAAATACTGAACAAGTGGAACATCACACTAGCACAAGTTCATATGATAATTATAGACTTTGCAATTCCAGAACCCATGGCGGACACTTTGTTGGTTCTCATGTTCCTGGCATTATGTGTGGTAAGCTTCACGAATTTCATGACTCTTTCGAATCAAATCCAACTGATTGTGCTCTCTGCCAGGGATACTTGGAGGGATTCCAACTTCCACGCTCCATTCGTGAGAGGCTATCGCCCCTTGACGACGCTTCAGCGCTGCACATCAAGCAGGAACTCCAAGCTTCCAGCAGGATATCACACGAGTCGTGCAAAGCCGCTGGTCTCTTGTGCGGTGATGAACATCACTCCCTTCGTCAGCTCTTTCACCACCACCATGACCATCACGACAGGAGCGCCATGGAATCCTCCACTCGAGATCTCGCCCAGAGGACCTTCTTTCAGCTCAAGACGCTTGTTGGTGCCAAGAACATACAGTTGCCACCGCCACTGCGCTGGGACAACTCCATCCCTGTGAGTAAATTCCTTCATCCGCTGCTAGAGCCTGTGCTTGCGTCCATGAATCTGTCCCAGCTCCTGTCCACCATGCACTTCTCGAGCCAGTCTCCATTCGCAGCGACGAGCAAGGATAGCCTGGAAATGTGCTCCTCCCACGGGGGGATCAAGCACGAGATCAAGGCTTGTCACGTCTCGGCAAAGTCCATCCTGGATCAAGCCTCTTCGACCCTCCACAAGCTCGACTTGAAGTATGTGGCCAACACTCTGGAGTTTGATCCGAACGAACCATTCCAGGTGGTAGAGACGAGGGTGGTGGCTGCAGATGGATCTCTGGCCTGTCACCCCATGACTTTCCCATTCGCCATCTTCATGTGCCACACAATACCGAACAGTCTCGTGTTGGAGGTGGATCTACTGAGAAGTTCTTCCAAGAACACGAAGCCTGCCATGGTGAAAGTTCCTGCGGTTTGCCATATGGATACCTCTGATTTCGCGCCTTCTCATATCTCTTTTAAGATTCTTAACACCAGGCCGGGCGAGGGAGAGGTTTGTCACTGGCTTCCTACTTCTCATCTCGTGTGGTATTAAGCTCCAAGCCTGAATGCTAGAGTGAATGTATAGTAAAGTTTGATCACAAGGAGAATAACGATTATGTGGCATTCCATGCCTCAAACGTCTTTTAATGAGCCAGCTTGAGACTGAGGATCTTCTTCGCAGCGCAAGAAAGAAGACGTGATCGACTCCAAGCTGAGCGTCCACTAGATCTCTCATGAGGACCACAAAGGAGGGAGGGCCACAGTAATCCACATTTTTGTACGGGGCCGAGCTTGTGGGGCATCCGTGGACACCATAGTTTGGAGCCAGATTGTTATCCAAAGCTCCTGGCTAATAGCATTACATTGTGATGCTTCCCAAAGAAAGAATTGGGATTTGGCTGCTTGGCATCCTTCCATATCGGAATAAAGCTTCAGGATTTGGCTTCCTTGCCATACCAGAAGAAAGACTCAGGTTTTGGGAACGTAACTTTTTGATAAAAGAACCATGGCTTGGTTCATTATAGTGCAATCTCATTCCTTGATTTCTAGCAACAACTTCAATGTACACCAAGAAAGCCTTAATATATTGTACACGTTTCTCAACTTTGCAGAACATCACCTTTTTAAAAGCTCAACAGGTTTCAACCTTGCAGGTCTCACCTTTGGAGAACTCAACTTTTCAGATCTCAACTTTGCAGGTCTCAACTTTGCAGGTCTCAACTTTTCAGATCTCAACTTTGCAGAATATTAACTTTTTAAAAGCTCAACAGACGTCAACCTTGCAGGTCTCAACTTTTCAGGTCTCAACTTTGCAGAATATTAACGCTGTAAATTAAGAGATCCTTGTCTTCTAGCATAAGCGCAACTAGTGTCATTCAATCATCCATGTGAAACACCACTTTCCAGCAAGTTTTCAATGACAATTTTGCAGACAAAGTTTAACAACGACGTCGACTCGTGCTCTACTTGTTTGGTATATTTCTACTTTAACTATAGACTTGGACTCACGGTGTTTGGTTCTCGTATTATGTGTATTAAGATTGACAACTCTTACAATCAAATCAAAACAATTGTTCACGAGATTCCAACTTCCACCCTGAATCCATGGGACCCTTACGACGTTTCAGCTCTGGCTACCAGGCAAGAAATCAAAGCTTCCGGCAGGATGTGACGTGAGTCGTGCAAAGCTGCCGGTCTATTGTGTGGTGATGAACATCACTCCCTTCATCAGCTCTTTCACCAGCCAGATTCAGCGAAAGTGAATCATTTTTTGTACATTGGACCCAAACATTTTTCCACTTTGCACAACTCTGTGGGGATAATAGGTTTTTGCACATTTGAAGGTAAGAATGCACGCTTGAGAGAGTGATTTTAAAATTTGGACATTCTTCAAACCCTGAGTGCAACCATTTCTGAAAAATCCTAAAGAATATTCTCCCACTGACTTTCATTTTTCTTAACACAACCAAATGATGACGTCATTATTTCGCCTTTTTGATTCTGGACGAACGTTTGGTGCAAGGATAACCTGGCGATGTCCCAAGTCGCCGGGATCAAGCACCAGATCAAGTCTTATCACGTCTCCACAAAGTCCACTTCGACCCTTCCCAAGCTTGAGTTGGTGGAGACGAAGGTGGTGGCTGCATCGCCTGTCACCCCCTCACATCTCTTTTAAGATTCTAAACACCAGGCCCAGCGTGGTAGAGGTCTGTCACTGGCTTCCTACTTCTCATCTCGTGTGGTATTAAGCTCCAAGCCTGCCAGGAAATGGAATGCATGATCGAAGCAACTACATAAAATTACCTTGAGTGGTAATCCCTTGTGAGTGTGAGATCGATCACAAGGAAAATAAAGACGTTTATCGTTGTTCGTTTATCTCTTTGGATAGTTCCAACGCTAATCGAAAATAGATTGTGGAATAGAGTTCTCTTAGAGAGCGGCTACAAGGCAAACAAGGATAAACTTCTTCCGAGGTATAAATGCTTGCGAGAACCAGTCGACACCCCGTAACAGAATTAGATACGAGATTTGCCCCGACCTTTGTTTCTGTCAAAGTTTCATTTCACTTATTTTAGATACTTGTTACTATGTGTTCGATTTCTTCACCTGTGGAAAGAAAAAAAGATCAAACAAAGAGAAAGAAGTGAACATTCAGTACCTTCTTCAGGTATAACTTATGGAACTTGAGCGCTTTTTGGCACGCTCGGTATGCGTCTATCTTGCCGCTCATATCGTTCAGAGCCTGCGACGTATATTGTTACCAGGGAAAATGAGGAAAAAAGGAAAGCATTAAACTGTTCCTCACCCTCACGACTTCGTCCAGGCCTTGAATTCTCTTTATAAACTTGGATCGTAGCAGCACCAAGATCCCGGCTACAAAGAAAACTGCCAGGGACGGATGCTCGTTGAGGGCTCTTGGCGATCCATACTTAATGTTCCGCTTTGCAAATCTACCTCCAGCTCTATAGTCCGGCTGTACGTTGTCAATGTGACCATCCGGGGACTCCATGTAGAGAATTTGAAGGTCGGGATGGTACTCGAAAGCCCACATCATCTACAAAGAAAGAAAAGCTCGCGTGAGCGAAAGAACATAAACATTTCACAACGGTTGGACTTACCTCCCAGAGGCTGAGCGTATCAACGAACGAAAACTCCCGGCGAAAGTTAACCATGAGCATTCGAAACGCAAAAATATAGTTGCTCCCTCCAAGTGCCTCTACAGAAAAAGGTCGGCAAAGACCTTCATCTTCGAAATCCTCACCTAGAGTTCTATGAAGCTTTGGATCGATTACTCGCATGGCAGCTGCGAGGAAGGAGAGCTCCTTCTGAACCCCCATCATCTTATTCGTGCACCTGAAATTTTCCCGCTTGCCAACATCAAACGTGATAAACTTCAATGAACGGTACTAAGCGATATAAAATCTTGAGAAGCGCTTTGCAGAAAACGTACCACTCGACGCATCAGGCACTTGAAGCACCAAAAGGCGTCAGCCTCGTCCGGGAAAAGGAGCACCATCGGCGAGCAAAGATCGCTCATACCTTGACAGTAGCCAACCTCCTCGTCGATCCAAGCGTATACTGCCAGGATGTCCCAGAGCTTTCCCAAGTTCTTGGGATCCTCGTAAAACTCTAAAACTCTATCCGTGCGAACTACATCCAGTCCTGCAAAGCGAAAGTGAGCACGCGAAACAGAAAAATAATCATACCAATCTGGTGGAGGAGAACTTTCCACTGGACAATCTTTGCGCTCGGCGATGGATCCAGCACTCCATTTATTGTCTGCTCTTCAATGGATTCTGCTAATACTTGGACAGAAAGTGAAAAGCCCGAAGCAAACAAAGAAGTAACCACCTGGATTATTCTCCTCCATGGAAACTCCGTCGGCATTCATTCGCGGCGATATCACAACTTCGCCACTTCCAACGGCCGCATCCATTCTCTTACACTCGGCCTTGAGCTTCAAGTATTTGTCACTGTAAAAACCAACGCGGTTTCTCTCGCAGATCAAATCCAATCGATAAAACAAGCCAAAGTATCTACCGTCGCGATTGACGAAGCTCTTCCCTTTCGGCAGCATTGCTGCCGGGGGAGTAAACACCCAAAAGAAACTCCCAGACGTGAGCGCGAATCTCCGACGCAACGCCCTACAGGAAAGAAGAAGAGATTTCGCTACTGGAAATGCAGCACAAGATTTACCCCTCTTTCGATGTGCCGAAGAACTCGCTTCACATTGAGCCGCCCTTGCGCGTCAAACGCAGCCCGCCATTTCTCCGCCGAGAGCTTCCTCCGCCTCCGCCTCTAAATCGGTCAAACCACACAGATCGACACAAATCCAGCCGAGAATCCGTCACAAACCGGCGCGGAGCTCGTCGCCACATCCTGACACTCGCTCCGGACCCTGTAAATCTCGGAATCATCCTCCATAGAGAAGCCTTGCCTCTGCTCGCTCGTGCAGGCCAGCAGCGGCATCCTGCGCCTCACGGATCGCGCAGATCGACAGCCCGGCGCCTCCGCATTGCGTCGCGGAGCTCTACTAGAACCCTAAACTCTCGTTAAGTAATCGTACGAATATGCTCCATTCCTTGCTCCGGTTCGAATCGCGTAGCTAACGTTTAAGTTTTATTCCACATTGTAACTATGTTGCCATGGACAAAGCCCAGTGCGTGGAGCTCATTCGATCGTGCAAAAGCCTTCCAATGGCCCAGGAGATCCACAAACGCATCCAGGCGAATCCACCACTCTCACCACACGAGAGCCTCTTTGTCTCCAACAATCTCCTCGCACTGTTTAACCAGTTTGGCAGCCTCGCAAATGCCCGAAGCGTCTTTGATCGCATCGAGAACAAGGATGTTTTCTCGCTGGTTCTTATGATCTGTGGCTACTCTCGCAGCGGGCAAGTTTCCAATGCAAAAGCCATCTTTGATTCCATACCCGAGAAGAATCTTACAAGCTGGAACACTATGGTGGCAGCATATGCCAAGAATGGGTATCTGGACGAGGCAGAAGTTTTGTTTCAAGAGATGCCATTTCATGATGCCGTGTCATGCAACACGCTCATAGCTGCACACTCGCAAAGAGGGCATTTGGATACTGCAAAGGGGATCTTTGATGACATGCTTTTTAAAACTCTACCATGCTGGAATGCCATGCTGTTTGCATATGCCACAGGTCGGGATCTTGTACAAGCAAGACAGACATTTCACTCAATGCCTGCTCGAAATCTGATCTCTTGGACATCATTCTTAAACGCACTAATCATGGAGGAAGATCTTCAAATGACTAGAAAGTGTTTTAACGAAATGCCCTGCTGGAATCTGTTTGCCTGTAACTCAGTACTTTCCGCATATGCCCGAAAGGGAAATCTTCTCGAAGCCACGCTAACCTTTGACACAATGCTCGAGAGGGATATAATCACTTACACAAACATGCTGGAAGCTTTCATCCACAACGGTTGCCTCTTTGAAGCCACCAATTTGTTCTCGCGGATGCCACAGCGGGATCTCGTGGCCTACACCGTAATGCAATCGGCCTACGCTCAAAACGGCGAGCTCGAGAGAGCCGAGGCCATCTTCAACTCCATGCCGCAGCGTGATCTCGTCTCTTGGAACGCCATGATCGGGGCTTACTCCCAACACGGCCGAGTCGAGCAAGCAAAGTTTCTCTTTGATTCCATGGCCGAGAGAAACTTGGTCTCCTGGACCTCAATGCTCACGGCTTACACAATAAGTGGCTACTTCTCGCAAGCAAAGCTCGTCTTTCTCGACATGTCCGAGCAAAACTCCGTCTCGTGGAATGCAATCCTTTGCATGTATGCTCAGCACGGCCATTTGAGCTCCGCAAGGAAGATTTTCAATGCCATGCCCGAGCAAGGAGTGGTATCATGGAGCGCCATGCTCGCTGCCCACGTAAGAAACTTGTCCTCTTCCCGTGCTCTCGAGCTCTTTGACGAGATGAAAGCTTTGCATTGTCCCGATGAAGCTTGCTTCTTCTCGGCTATGGTTTCGTTTGGGCAGCAAGGCTGCATCTCCAGAGCCAAGTCTTGCTTTGGTTCCATGGTGGCCGACTATGAAGTGGCGCCATCAAAGCAGCACTACTGTTGCATGGTGGATTTGCTCGTTCGATCTGGGAGAAGTTTGGAGGCCGAGGAACTTGTGTTGGCCATGCCTTTTGAGCCCAGTAACTTGGAATGGTCGTGCTTGCTGCGTGAAAGAAACTCCAGCTCGATGTTAATCACCAGAGGCAAGCATGCTTTAAGATCAAGTTCCTCGGATGGAGCGGTATACGTGCTGCTTGCCAATGCATTAACTTGAAAGCTAAATATGAAACCTGTAGATTAAAAAGATGGCTCATTTCAAGGGCTTTATTTCACAATGGCACTTGAGTAAGTTCTGGTTTTGCTGCCTCTATGTCTCCTTCAGTTTGGGTTGCCACACAGATAGTCGATTGGCTTCCTGGTCAGCCCATGGTCAACCTTAATCAGTATGCTGGAAGAGGGCTGTGGTCTCTTCTACTGGTTCTATGAGGCCGAATGTTCTCCGCTTGCTCTTGCTCAATGGAGGAAGATAAACACATCTAATAGCACCTTTATACAAAAAGGTGCAACGATAGTTAAAGAAGCTAGTTATTAATATTAGTGCTTCCAATAGAGACAACGATTTTTACATGGGAAAGCTATGCAGGTTTCTTTCCTTATGAAGTTGTCAAATTTGGTTGATTATTCATTCTGTAGGTCTTTATATTCCAACTTTTGGCACTGGAGATTTTGGCTAAAACCAAGCACCTATATCAACCTTAAGGGAATTGCTGTAAGTGCCAAATGATAGTTATCAACTTCTTTTATAATTGTTTTTGGGCTGTATAGATTGGAAATGTGTGGACTCATTCAACAAATTGATGGTCCTAGCATGTATGAGTTTTAATATACCCATTCAGTGATCTCGGAGGAAACATAGAAGGCCATGGATTGTCACGACACGAAATCTTATGATAATGTAGAACAAAGTGTTGATTCGAGCAAGGAAATATAAATCTATACAACATTTTGGAGGACAATCTCCAGGACTGTGTCAAAAGCTCACATCAGTTCACTCTGAACAAGGTATGCAAAACCAGACTGAAAATTTTCCTACATTTTTACATTTAAGGTCACAACAGTTGCATCAAAATAAGATTGGTTTTGGGGAGAACTTTCAGTGCACAGACCCCATTGATTTCTACCTTAACAGGGAGGCTGTAAAAATTGCCCTTCACACCTGCCACCCAAAATGGTGGTTGAGCTGCGCCAAGTAAGTCTTTATGTCAATCTTGCCTTTTGCTTTGGTACTAAAGTTTAGATTTGTTTATATAGTATTCCATATAGTCAAAAGGACGTTGCAGCATAGATGCTGCCGCTATAAGAAGCTGCTCATGAGCCACCTGAAAATCTAGAACTTTAGGCAAGAGAGTCATTTCATCTCTTTCAAACTTTCTATAATTAATTGAACTTTTGTTGTTGAGCAGTGGAGATATGGATAGTGTTGTCCCAACTTCCAGGACCAAAGCATAGCTGAAAGCTCTCAATCTCTCAGTGACAGTTTCATGGAGTGTTTCTATACGATAATTTTTTAAAAGGCCTTTTTTTGTAAATATTTCTAGGTGGGAGGATCGCTATCGTACGTGGGGCTGGGCATATGATACCTGTAAGTCAACCCTAATGAGGACTTGACTTATTCAAGGCCTTCATTGCTGGAAGTTTACTCATATTCTATCTAAAATATAAATGAAAGATTTATTATTTAAATTGAATATAATTTTTTCAATATTTTATTGACATTGTGTTCAAAGTGTTTGGGAGGCTTAAGGTCTAGATTATCTTTGTATAGTCCGTCAAAACATCTTTTGTATAAGCTCATATTAAACATGTATACATGTACACAAACTTATCCTTTGAAATGTATACATTCTATAAGCATAAGGCCTATTAAATCATATATATAATAAATAGCTTCTGGAAATAGGTAGGACAACATGCTTGTTTATTTTAAATTGCTCAGTTGGGTGCCAAATGATTTAAAACATGTACAAATAATAATAAAACATTTAGAAAATTATACTACAATTTAAAATTGTCTTTTAAAGCCTTTAATTGTATCATTAAAAATTTCCATCTGATTATTTATTTTAGTATTTTATTTTATTAATATATTCAAGTCATACCAAATCAGTTCTTGAAGAAGGTGGAGGGCAAAAGAATAAAGACCCAAAATGATTTTTTACCAGAAAGTTCAAATTTATAAATGATGTCTTAGGATAGTGTTTTGGAGTTGGACAGCTTGCATATAAAATAGAACCAATTAATGTAATGGAGTTTATTTCACATGATATGGTGAAATCAGCTCCTCTATTTAACCTTCCATCAATATTTGATATACCATTTGAAAGATCAAGCATAACAATGCCAAATCCTCCATCCCCAGTTTTTGTAGTAGCAACGAGCATAACAATTTTAACATTTTTATATACCCTTAAAAATATATTTGAGGAACTTGCTTCAAATCTACCACAAACATCCTGTAAAACAAAAAAAACATTATGACAACAATAAAAATAAAAGTCCTACATGTGGAATTTGTTCTACAGAAATAGTATCTGTAATATTCATCCATAATTTAGTCCTATTAGTACCAACAATCTTATCCATAGATTCACTTGAATTAAATCCATAAGTACTAAAACAAGCTATAAGTATTATTAGCAGTAGCAAACATATATTTGTGATATGTGCCATACCTTTCCCATTAATACTTCTCGCTATATATAAATCAAAAGTTGGTGTTACTTTCTATGTAATGTCATAGTTATTAATGAATGAAAACTAAATGAACCATAATATTCTTAGGGACCACAAAAAAAATATTCTTATTACCCAATAAAAGAAATTATTCTTCTTAAAGTGAAGCTTTTAATTTTTTGTGATCTCATTAATTCAAGAATTTTGGGAATCTACCTGTAGATTCTTATATCCAACTCGTAAGCATAAGCATATTCTGTAAAAGATGCCATATTTCACATTTCCTTGCAAATTCAAGAATACATAGATCTATTGGCCTCATTAACCCAAGAGCTTAACTGTTCAAGTAGTGATTATCCCAAACTCACTTAAGAACCAAAAAGGATTTGTCTACTATATGAATGTGCATGGTCACTGTTGACATCTAAGACATGACATTCTCCCCACATAAGCCTTGACTAGATGCCCTCACTTGATAATGAGGATTACATCATTAGCCCTTATGCATAATAAAAACTTCATTCTTGTTCACAAAGATAACATGGTAGTGATTAACACTCCTTCTTGGGCTGGCTTGATGGCTTATCCTCTTCAGCCTCTGGAAACATCTAAAAAAAATCTATTTGCGGTTCATTCCTTGTAAACACACTTTCAACTGATAAACATAATAGATTCTCACCTTTAATAGCTACTTTATTTAATATGCTATTGTACTATCTCATTCCAGAAATCGATAAAAACTAGAATAACATAGAAAGAACTTATCATTTCTCCTGT